AAGCATCACCAGAAGAACTGAGCAGAGAGTGAAAAGTGACTGCAGCTGTATCGAGAATATTCATCATTCCAAATTCAATCCTTCTGTAGTAGTGTTACCCATTGTAAGCAAGTGCCCTTCCTGATAACTCTGAAACACTGTCCCCACCTTCATTTTACAGACCCTGGGAGATATTCTTAGGATTTAGTTTTATTAGCATATAAATAAGAAATTAAGAGTATGAAAGAGTTCAGGTCAAGTCATGTCTATGGGCTTTGGCTGCTGTGGACTGCTAAGCCCATCCTTAGGTCCTTTCATTTTCAGATGATAACTCCCACTACCTGCAGTGTGGGGTAACAGGTTATTTACGGCACTGAATCAGCACTGACCCACTTAATCAAACAACAAATCCTGGTGCTAGCTTTGGTCCACAGGACAACACAGTTGGCTCGCTACACTTTCATACCCAGCCTGTTTTCTGCTGGCATATCAGCATTCACCCATTCTCGGTACCTGCTATGGCTTAGGCTGCCCACCCAAATCCCTGCACTGCTCTCCTTTAATTCTTCTTTCTCTGTGCTCCACGTCTGTTTGGTTCCAACTCTCTTGTCTCCCTGTCGTCTATATCCAGCCTGATCCTGCTTTTCCAGCTCTGTGTCCCAGGATCAGGTAAATGACAGCTGCCCCTCCTCTATCATCCAAGTTTTTACATTCCCTCCCAGCCATGATTTTCCCGCTGTTCTGCTCTGTTGGGAGCTTTGTATCAGCAAATACAGCAGTCATGTTTGCTACTGCTTCTCATACGTCGAAGTACAGCTCTGCTTTTATAAATGACGTAAGTTCTCGTAATGAACCTTCCCAAGAAATGATACCCCACCAAACACCAGCAATGATTTTTAGACAAAATCGTTTTGCACAGGGAGAGCCAGAAAGGCTTAAATTATTCAGATAACTTCTATGTCTAGATAAACTCTGTGAATCATTTGTTATGGCAATATAAAAATTACTTCACCAAAAATGATTTGGCAAGTTATACCTGAGCATCAGGGAAAGCATACAAAATTCCAGGAAGATAAATTCCAGCTCTTGGAAGCAGAGTTTGAAAAGTGGCTGAAATGAAAACCATTTGACCCTCAAGTATGGACTGATAATGCAATGGGAATGAGAGAGCCTCCTATTCTCAGAGCAAGTAAAATAACCGGTCTGCCAGGCCAAACCCATGTTCTAAATCACCACTGAACATTTAGCAGTATGAAAACAAGAGGATAAAAAAACAAATCAGAATTGATTTCTCTTTTCTGTCTTTCTTCCACCCTTCTAAAGCTAAATAAAATAAGGAAATAGTATAAAACTGGGTTAAAGTTGAAGCCATGCATGTTACTGTTTCCTTGAGAAAGGCCAAGTTGTCATCCATGTCTTAAATTTAGCATCCATTTTTGTTCAAAATAATGTAGGAACAACTGTGAACATTTTAGACTGCTTCAGAAGAGGATGAAAAGGAGCTGTGGAATTACTGGGGGAGGAGAAGTCCAAGTGCTTTCACTGAGTGCATCTACGCTAACAGGAGACCTTTTTAAAGGCTTCCTTGAAACACAATATTGTCTTCCAGGGTTAATCCAGGATAGTAATAATTAATTGTAAATTGAGAAACGGCTTTAATTCTTCAAAACTAGACAAACCTGATGCACCAAGCCCACTCAGAGCTAGCAGAAAGAAGACAATGTGGCCTCACAAAGTGGGAGGCTTGCAAACTGCTTAGCTTTTAGAAATGAAAGTGAAGTGGGAATGAAGTTCACTCTGTCTTTCTTATAAATTTAGCATCAATGAATGTTTTTAAAATGCATTTTTTTTCTGAATAAATGTGATTTATGTCTGGTATCAAGTAATCTGTGGTGGTGTTCTTTTTGGCTATCTGGGCATAGTTTTTCATCAACACAAATCACTGCAATTACATGACCAGTAGAAGGGAGAAGGTTGATCACCAGCGATAAAGCCCAAGATGGATTAGTGTCATGTTTCTTATATCTTTGTTCTTTATCTTAAAAAGCCATCCTTAGTTGCTTTTTTTCTAGGCCAACTCTTACACTTTTTTCATTTGCTTGTTTCCTGCTACTTGAGTGAGAACCAGTTAAGATACTGGTAGGTTTCCCTAGTGCAAACAGAAGGGCTTTTAAGCTGCAGTTTCATGAACAGGTTTTTACTCATGAAAATGGCATGATTTTGAGTAACCAAACATTTTAGTATAGTATGGTGTTGAGGTATGTTAAAATATTTAAAACAATGCTATTTGAGTGTCTTTACTGATCATACTTTCTTGATTTGCATTGCTATGAAGATACCCTGGGAGATAGTTAGAAGCTGTCGGGAAAAACTGATGAGTTGGATGTTGGATTGTGCAACAAAAGATAGTAACTATTGTAGTGAAGCCAAAAGAATAATAAGTAATAGAGCTGAACCCATACTGTTCCTGTAATACTGGATATGCTTTAGGCTTCTTTATTTTGACTGAAACTTTCACTTGCATTCTTGAAATGTTATGTTATGTAAGAACTTCTGCATTATAACCTTTATTTTGTCTGTTTTTAAAGGCATACGATGGGTTTGCCAGTTTAGGAATATCACGATTGCTGGAACCTTCTGACATGGTTTTGTTAGCAATACCTGACAAACTGACTGTTATGACCTATCTCTATCAAATCAGGGCACATTTCTGTGGCCAGGAATTAAACGTGGTTCAAATAGAGGAGAACAGTAGTAAAAGCACATATAAAGTGGGTAACTATGAAACGGACACAAACAGTTCTGTTGATCAGGAGAAATTCTACGCAGAGCTGAACGACCTGAAGCGGGAGCCTGAGCTGCATCCTCCAGACAGTGGTTTGGCAGACTTTGCTTCTCAGGATGACTCCGTCTTTGTAAATGACAGTGGTGTTGGTGAATCTGAAAGTGAGCATCAGACTCCTGATGACCATTTAAGCCCAAGCACGGCTTCCCCTTCTTCTCGCAGGACTCGAAGTGACACAGATGCACAGAAATCCCAGCAGAGCTCTGGAAGGACTTCTGCATCTGAAGACACTGGGAAGTGCAGCAGTGCAGATACAATGCAAGCACAGCCTACATTGGGAAGGAAGAAATTGCTGATAGCTGACACTTTAGACTTGAGTGACTTGGCACATGTCAGTGATCAAAAAGAGGATGTGTCTCCCACAGTTGCTTGTGAAGATAATGACCAGAAGAGACACCAGAGCTCAGACAGTACCATTGGTTTCTCAGAGCAAGAAAAGCTGGGACGTATAGGATCCACAGAGAGCACAAGAGCAGATCCTGGTTCGCCTGTCACAAAGCCAAGTTTATCTCCTACTTCTAAGCTTGGATATTCCTATAGTAAGGATATGGATCTTGCAAAGAAACCACATGCTTCTCCAAGGCAAACGGAATCTGATTCTGACAGTGATGCCAGAACAGCTTTAAATCATGCAGATCAAACTGCAAAAACAGCCCAGGTAAGAAATTTTAATTGACGCCTATGAGCCAGGATGCAGATGCTGTTTGAGTTCTTTCTCAATGTTTGCAATTTGCACCGTATTTTCAGTATATATGGTGAGGTAAGCAGTGTATTTTCATTGTTGGGCAATAAATATTTTGACTGAAAAGTTGGTGGTCCTGAAAAAGAGCCATTCCATGAAAAAATAATTTATACATATTGTCCATCTCAAAGAAGATGGCTCCAAAGTTTTTGCCACTGTGTGTGGCAACACATTTCTTCTGAAGGAAAAACTGGAAAAGAACGTACCAATTCATCGATCCACATTCAGAAAAAAGTAAAGTTTTGAATACATTAAATATACCAAAGATACGTCAAAATCACGTTTGAGAAACCACACAGCCTTGTGAACACAGCCACAATGGTGAGGTAGAAAATCCAGAATATTAAGTTGTTTATTGAGTGACCTTAAGCACATTACTTAACCACAATATAATTTTCATTTATATAAACATAAGAAGTATATGCCCTCCTACCTTGAAGTTTTATTGCGAGGATGGAAGTTGAGTATTATATAAATGCTGAGTATTATCAGTAAAGCATTTCATCACAGAAATATGTAAAAAAATTTTATCAGTCCTGTCTACAAAGATGCTAAAGCAGGCTTACAGTTTCACCCCTGTGAAAAGCTTGCTTAAGTTTTGGCTTTGGTTTTGTGCCGTTAGCTCTGATAAGAAGAGAATATAGCCAGTCTTTTGGTAGTGTGGATTGCCTCAAATATTTTTATGCTTTTCCCTCAGTAAGTGCCGTGAAAGTTAGTTTTATTGCAAGAGAAGAAGTCCATAGATGGGTGCTAGTGGCCAAATATTAGTTCCATAGCCAGCTGATTTCTTTCCTTTAGCCAGTGAAGTCTCAAAGTTTCTCTTCATCATCATCATCTTTTGTACCGGATGAGAAAGGAACAGCCAGGCCTACCCAGAATATGAGTAGGAAGAGACAGGATGTCTTCTTTATGAAGATTGTCATATACAAGTGTATAATAGGTCAAGAAAAAGGAAGAAAGGACTTTAAATATGGTTCTCTTGTTAATCATCTGTGCATTTGCACATGATAATAAAACCTCAGATGTGAGCCTCAAGCTGGGACACTCAGTTGTTGGTTGGAGTCAACCGTGCCAACTCTCATGTGGTTGTTGCCACAGCACAACCTGCAACATCTGTCCCAGCTCTATCTTGTCTAAAGGCCTAGAGACACATTTTCCCAGACTCTTCACAGCTGACCTTGACTAAGAAGTCAGCACTTGGGAGTATATGTGTATAGGAGCTGCTCATGTTGCCTATGGAGAAGCCCCCTTTCTGTTGTTTCTATTCTGCAATATAAATCGGTCATGTGTATGAAGAACGGACTTTCTTGTGGATGTTCATAAATGAAGTAGAAGCAGATATTTTTGCAGGTGTTTTGCCTTGTGCCCAGCCTTTTTGTATTCGATTCAAGTTATAAATGAGCGATACCCATATATGTAACCAACGAAGCATTATATTTGCATACATATTAAAGTAAATAAGTAAACACATAGCACATTTAACATAGTTTCCATAAAGCCAATTATATTTTTTCCACAGTTGCAGTTTAAAGGCATTAAATGTTGATAGAAATTAAGTTTTAGGGGGAGGGGAGAGAACTCTTATTTACATTATAAAGGCCTATGACTTTTTTTAATTCTACATTTTGATCATCTTTACTTTTCATTTCTATAGAATGTTCTGTCACCTCATGAAGCTGTAATCCATGTGACTCCTGACCTTTATTATATAGGAAGGCTCCTGGCTATTAACTACTGTATAAATATTAAGTACCCTGAGGCTGCCTTGCTGTTAATTATATTTCTTTATTTTTAAGCAACGTATGTTATCAAGACAGGAAGAACTTAAAGAACGAGCAAGAGTTCTGCTTGAGCAAGCAAGAAGAGATGCAGCTTTAAAGGCAGGGAATAAGCACCTAACCAATACGATCATCCCAGCCCGCAATAAGCAGCTGAATGATGTAAGAATATTGGCCAGTATGGCAGTTTACGTAAACTTATTGTATGTGCATATGCTTTCTGGGGGGAGGGAGGGAGGATTTCCTTGCAGAATATTTCTTTCCATGCTGAATTGCTCTGATGTGTCATATACCCTTAGTTCACTTTTAAAGCCTGTTTCTCCTGCTGTTGTAGCCAACAGAAAGATGCCTTAGACTTTGCTGGAAGCAGAGGTCTGGGTGCACCTTCTTTGATTGGCAGTGCAGTTTCTAATGAGACAAAAACAAAAGTTACTTGTTAAATGATAGTGAAGTAATTTATGCTATTTTTGATTACTTCTCTTTTTTTCAGTTAATGTAAATGCATTCCCTGCGCCTGTGATGTCAGCTACTTGCTGCTTCATAAGTGTTGTTGCAGTGAATGAAGCTGCTTGTGACAGTCTTGTAAAAGAGTTGATGGAACAATTCCTTTTTATCACTAAAGTTGATTATGCTGGTGAGATGGGAAAGTGGAGCTGGGGAATGAGCTCCAGTGTTGAAGCAGCTATGGTTGCACCTCCAGTGGCCTCCGTAGTGACCTGGAAGGATGCATACTCTCTGGAGATGAAAGCTAATTAATTTTTATGCAAACCTTTGCAATGTGGGTTTTGTGATTCTAACTATTGCACATTAGAGACTGTACTGGCAACTGAGAATGTAAATGTAACTGAAAAATAATGATTCAGAGAAAGGCTTGAATCTTTACTGATTCACATCTTTCAGAGCCTCGTCCTGAGGGGCAGATTCTGCTTTTTACATAAATGGGATCATACATTCCAAAAATGAAGACAGTGATTTAAATGTCTCATTTCATTCTCTGAACTTTCTTGGATCCATGCTATACCTTTTTTTTTTCCCCTTAACAATTCCTCTTCCCAAACTGACACATCTTTTTTCTTTAAAATATATTCATATACGCAGACAAGTCTTATTTGTATAATGATAACATAATGATATATAAGCAGTTTTTCTGTTACTTCGTATCTAAGCTTTTCCTAGGTAAGTGTATTTTAGTATAAATTTCACTTTGGAATTTTTTTTGTTAGTTTTTCATAAGGCAAACAGTATTAGAGCAGGGATAGTATAGGCAACTACTCAGGCAGAAACAACTGTAATTAAAGTTGCCTAACAATTTTTATTATAAGCTCCTATTTTCAGAGTTTTACAACTTTGCTAGTATGTCATTGTTTGAGCTGAAATTTTCCCCATCGGCTCTCTGCCTCAGGGTAATATTATTTTATTTTTCCTACAAAAAAAAAACAACACCCTGTTCAGCTGCTTCTCTGTATTAGGTTGGATAAAGCATTGTTTTATCCATGTTAAAAAATGTCTGATGGGAAGAAGGTTTCGTTGAAACCTTGAAAAATCTATTCAAAATAATCAAAGTTGTGTTAATAGCACAGGCAGCCTTGAAGTTCAGAAAAGTTGGTAAGTGCCAGTAAAAATTGTCTATACGGACACAGCACAGCAAGAGCATCTTTTACCGTTGGGTAAAATGAGCCCATTCTGGTGCAAGATCATAGTATTGGAAAACTTTCTTTTCTGGACTCCAACTCCTGCTGATGAAATCCAAAGAGGACAAAAAGGAGCTACCCCACTGGCATGCAGAGGAGAGATGCTCTGGGTAGATGGCAAGGAGGTAGATAGTGATGTGAAGTTAGACAAAAATGAAGGCTGTATCTAGGCCATGAAAACTAGCTGAAGGATAGGAGGTGGGGACTGAGTTTTCAGGGTGAGAATCAGGATTACATAGTTCAGGACCCAGATTATCCATGGGACCTTATTCCATTTATTGCAGAAGATGAAAAATGAATTAGAAGCTTGCAGGAAAGGGAAGAACTGTCTTTTAGGGGTACTCTGCAGAGACAAAGTTTCTTGCTGCCTCCCTCAGAATCTGTGTACAATGTTGGGAAGGTACCTTCAACCCAACATACTCAAGGTGGTGGATTCCTTGATTTCTGATTTCAAACCCAAAGTTCTTGGGGTATGATTTCTGGAAGTTTTGAATGAACCCAGCTGTAGGCAAGTCAAGAAAAACTGTGCTATGAACAAATGGTTCTGGCCCCTCTGAAATCCTAGGAGCTCTGAACAAACAGGTAATGGGCACTCTTGGGTTGAGTTGACTGGAACATAAAAAAAATAAAAGCTCCTCGGCTCAGAAGCATGCTGTGTAGATGTAATTTGGAAACTCTTAGATACAGTAGTGAAGAGTACCACAGAAATACTCTCAAAGAAATTAATAATTCTGTGTTCAGAGAAAAGTTTACATGGTTTAATAGTTTAAACGAGGTGTAGGGCAGGCATTGAATGATGAGGGTGGAGTGAGGTATTGAACAATTCATTCACTGAACGTTGTCAGTCATGGCTACTGAGAACGATAAGTATCCTGTAGGGGAAAAAAGTTTGGGTTATGCAATTAAAGACTATACAAAATGAGAACCAATGCAAGGTTGTACAGCTAGTGTAATTCTGACATTGTCTAACTTTTGAGTGCTCGTCTTGCCAAGCTCAACGTTCTCCTAGTGCGTTTTACTGGGAAATACGCATTGCGAAAGGGAGGTGTCTATCCTGGAGGCTGGTATAGTATTCATATTTCATATATAAAGTTTGTATGTAGTAATATATGCAGTATGTAACATGTATATGTTATATACCTATCCATAGATCTGTATGTTCTGAATGAGAATGTGTGTATGCATCAGCATACATAGATGTAAGATAAAACACATTGATTTCTGATTTTTCTTTAACGTATTTTATCTTCACAGAAATGAGACATTTCCATTTGATGTAGTTGTGACAGTTTACTGCTGATCATTGCTTATTTGATTGTTAGAAAATAGCACAGACTTATTTCTATTCAGTGTTTTCTGGTCATTAAGGTTAACAGTAAGAACTTTGACTCAAAGCAGCATTGTATGTGTCAGTGTGCGATAATGTGTAGTAGTGTGTTATCCAAATTAGAGTTGTGATAATGAGAATCAGCATTTAGTAGTGGGAATTGGACTGGGCTCATTTTTGGGATGGATTGAGAGGGATTCAAAAGAAAATAGTTTAAAATAGAAAGATCTCATTTTAAATAAGAAAACTTTAAAGAGATAGTCCAAGGCCAACACTTTCAAAAGTAACTCTTGAAGTTTGCAATTGTGCCTTTTTCAATACCTTCAGGAAAAGAGCTTTAAGCAGTTCAGTCTTTCAGAGTGTGCTCTGAAAATCAGTCACTCCAGGTAAACTCAGGCTGCAGAGTCATTAGTTACTTTAGAAAATCTTGTCTCATAGGCCTTACTGTTAGCACTTGACATTTGTCATATGAGAACTATGAATCGCTGTTTTCTTAGTAAACAAGTGAGAACAATGTACAGTGCGTGGCGTTGTATTGCTGCCTGAGGTCAATAAAAGGGAGGAAATTTCCAAGTCTCTTGTTTGGTCATAAATACAGGTTACTTGTTATGTGCTCACCTGATTTTTTTGGGTAAAAGTCTTTTTTGAAGAAGTGTACCTGTGACTCCTCTAAGCACAGAGGAAATACCTTAGGCCTTCTTCAGGCTACGCTTTACCTTTCCTCTGGCAGACCAATAATGTGTTGGTTTGGTGTTTTTTTCAGTACTCTGGACTTGCTTTTTTAATCTCCTGTTCTTGAAAGGCCAGTTAGTGGTCAGTAATGAAGTAATGGGTGTTTTCCCATGATGTGTCCATTCTCTTGGCTGTTTACCCCTTTTTCTTGAGTCGTCTTTCTTGCTGTTGAGTCTTCTTTTGTGCTTCCATCTTCTCATATTTGTGCTCTAGGGTTAGGCCCATGTCAGTGTTCTCACTTGATTTACCTTTTATATAGGTATATTTTTAAACTCGGGAATTTATGAAGTTGTGGGAACAGAAGAGGAAGACACTGAATTTGCTCATATACCTGTTAACTGAATCCCATTTCCCTCTGAATCGCATATTTCTCATTGCATCCCAAGCTGTATCCTCTTCCTCTTCTTTCATTTGTGTCTTATTGTTCTTTTTTCTCTCACACACTGTATTTCGGCTATCTGCTCTAGCCATTTCAGCTCCCTTTCAGTCTCCTTTTGAACTTTTCTTTTGTAATACTCGTTCTCTTTTACTCTTTCTTCCCTTGGACATCTTCCCTTTGTGCCTTTCTGCCCCGTCATCTTCCATTCTTGTACAGCCCACCTAATCTAGTCGCATCATTCTCTGCTTGCTTCCTCTATATGTACCATATTAGACCCTTTTCTCCCACTTCTCCCTTGTTTGCAGTGCGGTAGAAGTTTTTTCAGTTAGGTCTGCTCATTTGGTACTTCTCAGAAGCCTTCAATCTGCAAGCTGTATGCATGCCAGCCTGTATGGAGGTATGTAAGCCTGTAGGCAGGTATTTAAAGTCTAAGAGGAGACTACATGGATCAGAAACTCGTTGAAAAGATGCTCATGGTTTGGGAGAATCATAGACATATCCTTAAAATTGATGCAGCCTTTAGGAGACTGGAAGAATTAGCTTAAGAGCTCTGTGAACAGAGTTACTGATCCTCTCATGGATCCCTTTCTCTATGGTAGATTTATAAACAGCTCAGCCTTTCTGCTTGCTTTCTTGATGTAGGTGTGCATGTAGTGACTCTTTTACGAGGTGCTTCTGTCATTTCCAACCTGGTATAGCAGCTGTAATCACTTAGCTTTTAACCAGGAGAGCCTTTTTATTAGCTTACTCATTTTATTTAGCTCACCTTTCCTCATGATGATATCACTCGGCTAGAAGGGGCATATCTGCTCCCAGCAGATGCTGTAAAATATCAGCCTGCAGTGATGGTTGTTAGCAGCAGCAGCAGCTTGGCTGGAATGTGATGTGGGAAAGGCAAGGAGACTGGAGCTGGTCTGTGCAACCGAACTGGCAAAGTGGCAGGCTAGAGGAGACTGCAACGAGTCAGAAATACTCAGGAGTCATGGGGCTAAAAGGTCTTTCCAGCAGGGAACCCTCACTTCCATGGGGAGTG